GTCGAGCGCTCGTCGAGCGTGAATTTCATGCATCCAGTACTTTTGCAGTCCGCTCGAGCGAGGAAAGTTACGCTCGAGCGGAGCTCATTTGTCTGCATGTCCACTCGAGCGTAGAAAGACACACTCAAGCGAGACCCCTGTTTTCTGAAAATTCTGAAAAGTGTTTTAAAGTGCATTAGGGATTAAGTTATCATGTCCCAACTAGGCAAATTAGGGATTAAGTTATTATGTCCCAACTATGTAGCTTAGTGTGTGTTCGTTCTGTAACTGTGTAGGGTTGGCATCCGAGGACGCTCTAGCTGCTTATAGCCCAGCACTCTATGAGTAACAATGTTGTAAAGATATGTTCAATCATGAATATTTTCTGAATGAACAACTGTACTGCTTTCTGAAATGATATTTCTTACTGAATGAATGTTTATCCTATTTGTGAACTGCATTCGTGGCATCCATAGCAATTTACTATTACTGTACTGTACTGCTACTGTCACAAAGATCTCTGTTGGTTCCCATGTTTGGAACCACTACTGTTTACTGATATGATGGCCATCAACTGACTGTTCGGTCTGTTAAGACCTATTGTACCGTTTGTGCTATTGGATGTACCACATATGACTATTATAGTTTCTGAATGATTGTTATGGCATGAAATATGAGCCACAAACTGAATGACTGATATACTGATAAATAACTGTTTTCAATACTGAAAGGACATTCATTCTTAACCTTTTTACACATATATTATTCACTGGGTTTTAGCTTACTGCTCATATATATATGTAGGTGTTCAGGCACCGGACCGTTGCTAGAAGCGTCAAGCTAAGCCCTTATTTTGTCAAGCCAACCTTTGTGCCTCACTTCAAGGTTCTGGATCTGTTCAAGCTAAGGCTGCTTTTGGGGTGTCTCAGATTCACCCTATCTGTCTCTGTTATGTATAGACTTAATGATATTTGTATTGTACTGTTATGGTGGGGATTTGGTCCCTAACCTGAATGCTTGTAAATGATGTATGTATATACTGTTTTTGTTCTGAATGTGAATATGTTATAAAAAGTCTTTTTGCATGCAGACTGTCACAGCTCATTGGACATCTTTTAATTACTGTTTTGGCTTCCGCCAGCTCCTGTACTTTGTATTACTGTTTTACTATTAAGCAGGCCTTCGGTAATCTCGGATTACTGGCCGGTTATGGTACTAAACCCATAGGGGCGGGTTTGGGTCGTGACAATATGTTTATGTGAAGTTTGAGCTATAATGTGCAAGAAATGTTGATTTGAATGTTGAATTCGAGCTCAAGAACATGTTCTGGATTTTCCAGAATTTTGAGGTCCGCTCGAGCGGAGAAACTGCCGCTCGAGCATGAAATTCGTGCTCCCAGTATATTTTTGCAGACATGACGTCCGCTCGAGTGGGGAAATTCACGCTCGAGCGGGAAGTCATGTAGTGAGGCCTTCCGCTCGAGCACCATAATTCACGATCGAGCATAAATTCGACATAACCAGTACTTTTGTAGGCCTCATGGGTCCGCTCGAGCGGGGAAGTACACGCTCGAGCGGGGACCCTATTTTCTGAAATTTTAAAAAGGCACTCTGTGTTTCGTTTTCTATTCTCTTTCACTTCTAAGTACTCTTAGGCACACATTGAGCATTGTAATTGAATTAAAGGGATAAGAATAAAGCCTAAAGAGGAATATGTGAATTAAAAAACGGATTGAATTGTTTGTGACCCTTTTTTGTTCATGGAATGTGTAGGGTCGAGCTCCAAGGCAAACCAACCAACCGATCACTGTGAGTAATATCTTAACAGAGATATCTAAAATATGTTGTTGTCCAATTGCTAACTTCTATGTAAGTTTTATAAGTTCATTGATTCGATTGGCGGACAATGTTACTATACCAAATGAGTGGGCCAGAGGCCGTTTTGACATGAATAGATGGGCCAGAAGCCGTTTTGACAAGAATGAATGGGTCGGAGGTCGTTTTGACATAAATGAATGGGCCGGAGGCCGTTTGACACGAATGAATGGGCCAGAGGCCATTTCGACATGAACGAGTGAATGGGCCAAAGGCCATTTTGACACAAATAAGAGTTTGAATGGGCCAAAGGCCAGTTTGTTTGGAACCGTAATCACTTGACCTAAATTGTGTATATATGTTAAATAGAAATATGAATTGGCCCTAAGGCCGTTTGAAGCATGTTGTTCTACATATCGTCTGTATAGTTTCTTTAATTGATATTATTCACTGGGCTTTCGCTCACGCTCATTCATGTGTTTGTAGGTGAGCCAAGGGAAGTCCAAACCTAGCCCTAGTGAAGTCTATGTGGAACAACAAAGGTTTTGGGAGAGTCAGCCCTTGTGTCTCACGCACGAGACCCGTTTTCGCCCTTTTGTTATGTATTTATATTCTGTCATGTTGGCGAAGACTTCGCATTTGTTGTATATAGGCGTGATGGGTTGACTTAGACTTATATAATCCTGTATGTACAGAACCTTATGTAGTATATATTTTGTCGTGAGTTATTATTATGCATATGTATGGTTTGTTATGATGTGCCATGTAAGCACAGCTCTATGGACAAAGTTTTAAATTGCTTCCGTTTGGCCCCCATTAACTCTGTTAAAATACGTTTGGTTTGGTTTGAGGCCATAAGTAATCTCATGATTACTGGCTGGTTATGTCCTTAACTCACGGGGGCGGGTTCGGGTAATGACAGTTATACTCTGATTTATATTGTTATTTAATTATTGTCATGGATGGTTTATTGTATTTATTTCGGGGCATTACAAGACCTTTGCATAGGATTTAAATTGATCATATCCATTGACATGATTTTACTACATCCTTTTATTCATGCTATAGCCTTTTGTTCATCTCGATCAGCACTTCTAAAGGACATAGTTGACAACTTCAACAATTTTAGACTGATTGGCTTCTATTTTCATCAAATCTAACATCATGAATTGCTTTTTTCTTCAATTTCTCTTTCGTAGCATTAGTACCAATTGGTTGTGTTGATGTATCCGCAAAAGGTTATTGGTCCAAATCTATATTGTTGTTGGGTTCCGAAGCCTCATATTGAGTTGATGGAGTTGAATATGGATTTGATGGCGGTGTGGATTTCTTGAAATGTGTTCTAAGTTTATCCTACTTACAACTTTGGCACAAAATTTCCTAACTTGTATTAAATGTAATTTTTTTTTTTTTTGGATTGTATGATACATGTGCTTAGCTTTAGCAAATTGAAAAATGAAGTAGATAGCAAGTATAAAAACTAACTACAAATAATAAATAGATATACTAAAAAAAAAACCATAAAAATCACCTTGTCTACTTCAATTGTTCTACTTTGTTGTCTCAATTGAATTTGCTCAAGAAAACCACTAAATTTATTAATTGTCTTTTGCATTGCAAACCAACGGTCAGCCAAAGAAAGACGGTTTTGATTTGATTGACCATTCAATTGTGAATTAAAATAAATGAGTACCGTTCCCAGAATATTGTCATGGTCTAACTATTACCTGCAATGGGATCTTGAGAGACAATTAACCAAGATCTGCATAAAGTTTCATCTTTTACCATGTTGAAAGATTTACCACAAGAAACATGAGAAGTTTCAGAAATAATATTTATATCATGGTTCTGCTCTAAACTTTGAAAATTTTCAAATATTTCAAAATCATCCATGATTTCAAGATAAAATTTGTACAAATAAACAAATGAAAAAAAAATTCAAAAGGATAAAAAATCCAAGTTCAGAATTATAATAACAATAATATAAAAAAGATTGTGAAATAAATAAGTGAAAAAATTTGGAATGAGTGAAAATTGAAGTGGACAATGACAAACAAAAGAAGAAATTGTGATATTATGAGAATAAAAAAACAAATTATTGTTATTTTATAAGTAGAGTAACAATGGTGACTTCTAAACTTTGATGAAGCCCTAACAAAACCAATAGTAAATTTGCAATATTTGAACACTCTATAAAACCAACGGCTAAGAAATCTACACAAATTTAAAGCCTTTCCAAAATTTTATACCCTTTACAAAACAAAAGCTGTTATACTTGCAATATTGTTGGTAAGAAATCTACTATTGGTGTCAAAAATATACACAATTTTGCAAGCCGATTGACACATAGTTTGTTTTGGAGCACATTCTCCCGGACGCCCATCTTTTTGGTCAGTTATGGGCAATTTTGCAAGGAAGATGTTGTTTAGAAAGACAATCAGCCAGACAACCGACCAATCGTTTGATGTATCTGCAACACCAACGACTACTTGCAACACTAACGACTACGTTCAACAATTCGATGAAACGCTGAAGGCATTTTCAATTTGATGAAAGTTTTGAATTTTCTCTCATTTGATATAGGTTCGATGTTATTATTTAAGCAACAAACCTATACTTATTTCATCAAATTTAAATTTGATAAAAAAAAAAGTAAGCGTTTGAGACGCATTGAGTAATCTGTATATCTATTTTATGTATATACAAAAGAAAAAACAGAATAAAGGATAAATTACATTGGCATTCCTTGAGGTTTAGTCCAATTACATTCCATTTCTGAATGTTCTGAAAATTATATTTACATCCCTATAGTTAATAGTCTCATTTCACAAACCCCCCGTGCTTATATAAAAGGAAACAACTTCTAATAGAAAAATAGAGAAAATTACATGAAAAAAAACAAAAGCGAAAAAAAAAAAAATAAAGGAAGTAAAGCAAAAAAAGAAAAGAGAGAGTGCATAAATTCAATATTTTCATTCCGTCTGAATAATTACAATGACAGAGAGATTAGTGTAATTTCCCAAATGTTAAGGATAATATATATTAAACCCAAACTTCAAGGGGTATAAGTGTAATTTATCCAAAAAAAAAACGATAGAGGGGCATTATTAGCTAATCTCAAAATTACAGGGGCAAAATTGAATGTAGAACAAACTAAAAGGACCAAAATGATATTTTCCATCAAATACATAACCCCTGGCCTCTCTATTTTCTTTCCTGTTTCCATCCATTGTCCTTCCTATCCTCAAAAATCACAATTGCCAATAAACCCTAACGTTTCCTTTTCCTGGTAAGACTTGGTGAATACGAACCTCTTAGATTTTTGTTTTCACATTCAATTCCATTCAGTTGAATTACGAACACACGGCACATTAATGTATTTATAATACCAATTGTTTTGCTGTTGTTTTGCATCTGAATCTGCATATTGAATTCCTAGGGTTTGTTCTTGATTTCCGTGACTTTTCTGGATTCGCAGAGGTTTCATTTGTGATCCTTTGCTTGTCCTCTGGTTTGTTCTCGATTTTTAAGGGCTTTTTTTAATCTCAAAGGTTTACTTCGTTATTTGTGGTCGATTTCTACAATTTTAATTTTTTTATTTTTGTGCTCTGGCAGATTTGTTGTTTGGTTTGTGTTTCGATGGCGAACGGTGATGGCACAGAGGAATTTGTGTTGTTGTCTCAAGTTCGACCTGGGTTGAAGCGTGAATTAGCCTTTGCGTTGAAGTCTGGAGCAGAGTTTGCTAATGTCATTGGTCGGACGCGTGCGAGGAGGTCTCAGAATGGGGCTTTGAGCAATGAAGTACCGAATAATATAAGCAACAAGAGATTCAAGAGCGCAGACTCAAAGAATGATGTGGAGAAAATTTCAGTTGAAGACCAATTGATGGGTGTTATTGAAAAATCAATGAATGATGAGGCTGTTAAGAGTGAGGTGCCAATTGGTGTGATCAAAGATGATGTTGAGGGGGTAATTTCAATTAGTGAAGACGAGCCGAAGAGCGATGTGGTGGATTTAACTAGTGATGATGAGCAGAAGAGTGTTTTAGTAGAATCTAATCTCAAAGAGGTGGAGCCAATGGGTGATTTGGCAGAACCAATGTGCATTGTATTCCCCGAGGTTGAGGACCAAGCAAAAGAGTGCAATTCAGATAAATCTCCAGTCAATGAGGATACAGAGAAGGATGAATTGAAACCTTTGTGTAAGGAAGGACCTGCTATGGAAGCAGAAATTCCAGCTCCAAAGCTAAATGTGGAACCAGTTGATGGCTTTCTAGAGAAGGCTTTCTATGAGAAGCCTACAAGGCGAGTCACTCGTTCAGCTGTGAAAGTAATGGCCAAACCATTAGAGAGATCAGCTACTGTAGAAGGTTCAGAAAGTGATCCAATTGGCAAGTTAGAAATGAAAATGTCGAAAAAGATTGAGTTGAAGAGGTATCCCACAAAGTTGAAGGACCTTCTGGAAACTGGTTTGCTCGAGGGTTTGCCAGTGAGGTACTTGCGTGGCTCCAAGGTATAAAGACAATCTCTTGTTTATAAGGCTTACAAATGTGGGTATGTATTATTACTTACTGTTATTGTTCTTTCTTTGGATTTTAATGGTTTAGGCTAGAGGGCCATCGGATATTGGGCTTCAAGGAATAATTAAAGACTCAGGGATATTGTGCTCTTGTGATATGTGCTGTGGAACTCGAGTAAGTTTTGCATACTAGTTCACTGATGTATCTGCTTGTTAACCCCATTCTTGTTGTTCTTTAAATGAATTCATCAAGTTATTGATTGTAAAATTTATTTATTTTAATTTTGGTTAATCTAGGTTGTGACACCCAATCAATTTGAGTTGCATGCTGGTAGTTCAAACAAGCGCCCACCAGAGTATATTTACTTGGAGAATAGAAATACTCTTCGTGATGTATTGAATGCATGCAAAGATGCTCCATTGGAATCCTTGGAAGTAACTATTCGGAACATGATTAGTTGTTCATCTGAAAACAAACCTATTTCCTGTCTGAACTGCAAAGGTGCTTTGGTATTATACTATTTTGATCTTTCACTCTTGACATGGGTCATCCTCCCAGAGAATTTGACACCTTTTTATTTGATTATTTCCAGGGCCTGTTCCTGAAGCTGGCACTGGTAGAACAATGCTACTTTGTGATTCGTGCATGATTTTGAAAGAGTCTCGACCTAGTCCTGTATTGAGTGATAATAGTGATAGGTATTCATTGTTGTAATTTTTCTCTTGCACGTGATAAATTTGTTCTTTTTAAGCTGTTCGAACTTTGAACCATTGGATCATACATCTCTTAATTCTGATATGAATACTTATTTTACTGGTAATAATTTTTGATATGATTACATGGACGTATTCTACTAGGATCAGTGTGTAAATCTGATATATCAGACTGGAAGAAAGTTTTAACGATCTCGGCCTACTAGCAGTTACATGCTTCTGTTATTTGCTTTTAGTGGTGGACACTTGGCATCCTGAACAAAAGTCTGTTATGTTGAAAGCCTCATTAACATGCTTCTACCATGTATGTTTCACTAATATAGCTAATACATTCATGCAGTAGTTTATATAGAAAAAATATGTAGTTAGCAATTATGTTAAAGGTCTCCTTAATTTCATTTAGTTGTCCCCTTTTTGAAGTGGAGTTTATTAATTTTCCATCTTGAAGCTGAAACTATTGTATCCATGGATTTATGATATGTCTAGGAGATGTTATGAAGTTTCAGTGGATTTGCAGTTAATATTTCTGTGCATTCGTGTTCAGGTGTGGGCGCCATGGGCATGTGTGTGTGATGCCTGCTTGCACGAGTGCATGTGTTTTCTCCATAAAAAATATTGAGTTCAAGTAGTTTATGAATGATTGTTCTCAGTGGCAGAGCCAAAATTCTCTCAGTGGGGTCAGTTAACGATAATATTAAATTACACAAACCAAACCAAATAAATAATTTAATGAGAACTAAATAATTTATTTAACAGCCCTTTTAATTTGATTTTAAACATAATTTCAAATAAGTATATCATGTCTTAGGAAACTACCTCACTATTTTTTGAAATTAAAACTTGTCCCTTCCCTGTAATTGAAGATCAACTTAAGTGGGGTCATTTTAATGAAACCCCAAGATATTACTTAAAATTTTAGACCTATTACCTTTAGAAATTATGTTAAATTATACGAACCAAACCAAATAAATAATTTATTGAGAACTAAATTGGTTGATTATTGATAACTAAATAATTTATTTAACAGCCCTTTTAATTTGATTTTAAACATAATTTCAAATAAGTATATAATATCTTAGGAAACTACCTCACTATTTTTTGAAATTAAAACTTGACCCTTCCCTGTAATTGAAGATCAACTTAAGTGGGGTCATTTTGATGAAACCTCAAAATATTACTTAAGATTTTAGACCTATTACCTTTAGAAATTCCTGTGAGCTCAAGGGACCTCACTTCATTAAATGTGGCTTCGCCCTTGATTGTGTTTTTAGGTTATCTCCTAGCGATGCTTCTTGTTACTTTGTTGATAACTTTGACCTTTTTGACTAGGTGGCTTAAAAACAAGTCTGGGGCAGGCTAGCAAATCTTCACTACACATTAGGATTTTAGACTGTAAACTGCATCCATCATGCTTTGAAATTTAGCATCTTTCATTGCATACAATAAATTTCATAAATCGCTGTGTCTTCGTGGTGGATGTGATACTTTTCTAAGAACTAAAGACCAAATTTTTTGCAGCACTAATAGGGCTCTTTTAAATCTATATCGTCAGGCGTTAGTATATTTTTGTTGACATCAAAATTTAACTTTGCCTTTAAAAAATTCCAATTTTAATACTGATACATCAATCTGTTTAGTATACATTGGTCGTTGGCTTGTCATCATTTTAGTTAAGATTTAGAGAAGGAAGAATTAATGTAAAGTTTGAGGGGTTTTCCAGTTAAAGATAGGTTAGAATTTAGAAATGTGGGGAACATTATTGGATCTTTTATCCTTCTCAAAAAAGGTAACGTGTGATTAGAAAACTTAAAACTGGGAATTAATTTTTAGTTTTTTGTAATATGCATTCAGATCACTTTGCTGTAGAAATGAAACCTGAAGTTGAATCTTCACTTTGCTGTGGAAAGAAACTGAACTTTGAAGTTCAAACTCATATAAAATCTGACATTGTGGTTGTATTGTCTAATTATTTTCAAGAATGAGTTATGATCTGACCTTCAAGAAAAAATTTCATTTATCAAATAAAAAAAAAATGACCTGACCTTTAAGAACGCATTGTATCATCACGAGATAATTATAGCTGGTTGGAAAAAAGAGTGGATCGAGATTTATTTGTTTTCTTAGGTTTTTTGGTTAGGTGTTGATAGTTTCGCCCTGAGTTGGGGCTCCTTTTTTTTGTATTTTTTTGCATCGTCTTGATAAAGTTGCTTATTTATCAAAAAAATAAATAAATAAATAAATTAAATTAAAAAGATATTGGGTTACATGTGGAGATAGTATTTTCTTATATTCTTTCTAATTCGTTGATGAAGTTACATGTCATGTTACCGACCTACTTCATTTGATGAGTTGTTCCTCTAGTTCACAACATGAGGCTGACTACTTTATTTAAAATTCTTGCTACTGTTACTGAAGCATGCCAGCCATTACCCTTGTTTCAATAGTGTCATTAGTCAATGGGCTTAGTGGCAGTTTGGCTTAGCTGATTGTATCCAGATCAAATAGATATTCAATAATTATTAACCTTGAGGTTGTGGGTTCGAACTTGAGGGCAACTAATTTGTGCAAATTATGAGAAAGGTTAGGTTAGGACTCAATTTATCCCTTCCAGACCCATATCATACACACAATCATCAGGTGATACGGTGATCATTGCTCATAAATGAACATCGAGCACTGGATTTGATTTTTCCCTTGCCATCATTTTGTCAAACTGTTACATATAATGGCCACTGTTGTTTTGATGGTGTGAGTAAGCCCTGCTTTGGCAGCAATCAGCGGTTCAACAAGTATAATTGAAATATAAACCACTGATTTTGAGTTCTTTGTTGCTGGTAAATACTATAGTAAATGTAGTCACTCTTTAATAGTTTGTGTTTGTGCATGTGCATCATGTGTTTGCTAGCATTTAAATTAGAGTTTTTCCCATTTGTTTTGCAGAATAAAACATAGTACATAGTTTTCTTTTATTGAGCAATATATAAATTTGATTCGGATATATTTTGCCTTGATAATTTTAGGTCACCAACAATTATTTCCATTCCAAAGTCATCTGAGAGTGTCTCCTCTAGTTCATCACGGAGCAAGACTCGGGGGAGGTTAACTCGCAAGTTAGTATACGTTCTTGAAGTTGTTAAGTTGTGTCATGGGTGGATGTATCTTTGTCATCATTTCTGGTTTGATTGATTAAGTTGGTTAATTTAGTGGACTAAATAGTTGATTTTTGTCTTTTTCTCAAGAGATCTGCGGTTGCACAAGTTGGTATTTCAGGATGATGCACTGCCTGATGGAACTGAACTAGCTTATTTTGTTCGTGGGCAGGTTGTTAAGACGAGCACATTCATATTATTATTTTGGTTTAAGGAAATGTTTATGTTGCTTTTATAAAGATCAAATGTATTAAACAATTGACATATTTTTTATTTTTGTGGAAGCAACGCTTTCCCAGTGAAGCACCTTGTTGTGATATGTATTTGTTTTCTGATTGCTTGTCATCTACAGAAATGTGCAGAAGGTTATAAGAAGGGTTTTGGAATATTTTGCTTTTGCTGCCAAAGTGAGGTACTTTTTTTTTTCTATTTTGCTGCTTGAGTTACATCTTTATTGATACTCATTGAGGTGTTTACTATTTCAACATTTGTGAGTAGGTCAGCCCTTCTCAGTTTGAAGCACATGCGGGTTGGGCTTCTCGTCGCAAGCCGTGAGTGTTCTTCTAATATTTTTGGGAGGCGTAGTGAACATGTGGTTTCTGTGACCATTTATACATCATTAGATAACTTTTTTCCCCCTAATGCAGTTACCTACACATCTATACATCAAATGGAGTGTCTCTCCATGAGTTGTCTTTGAAGTTGTCACAACTGCGGAAGTTATCTGCCGAGGAAAACGATGATCTTTGCTCAATCTGTGCAGATGGAGGAGATCTTTTATGTTGTGATAATTGCCCAAGAGCTTTTCACACAGGTGATTCAAGTTTCTTGAATGACTTCCCTTTAAGTCGTTTCATTTCTTTTCTGGTTTTGTAGCTCCAATTCCCTGGATGCTTGCCTGTCTTTTCTTGTGCTAATGTCTTGTCTATAGGTTTTTTTTCTTTATACTCAAACCTTTTCGCTGTTTGTTCAATTTTCTGAATTGCGCTAGTGTAGAGTGGTTGAACAGTACTTTGTTTATCTTTATCCATTTCTTAAGTAATGCATTCAAACCACTTATTGACAACATTGTATAAATACTTGTTTTGTTCAATTGTAGAGTGTGTTTCTCTACCTAGCATCCCCAGTGGTACTTGGTACTGCAAATATTGTGAAAACATGTTCCAGAAAGAAAAATTTGTGGAACACAATGCAAATGCTGTGGCAGCTGGAAGAATCGCAGGAATAGATCCTCTAGAACAGATAACCAAGCGTTGCATCCGCATTGTTGAAACTATAGAGACTGATGTTGGTGGATGTGCACTTTGCAGGTTGTATTCACACTCTTTTTTTCTCACCATAATTTCTCTTTAGAAGCTTAAGCTGTCTCTTAATAGTTTACATAAGCCTTCACCAATAGAAGGCTCTTGAAAGTGGTTCCACTAAACAGAAACATTTTTCAATTTGGTTATAGAAATTCTTGCCTCCCATGGACCAAATGCATGCAAAAACTCTGTTGTGTGGTGTCTTTCAACTTTCGTCTCTTTCTCTTTTATTTATTTTTTTCTTTCGTAATCAGCATTTGTGAGCTTATATTTTTCTACACATTGATGATGCATGCAGGGGCCATGGTTTCAGCAAATCGGTATTTGGCCCTCAGACAGTTATACTGTGTGACCAGGTATTTCGTTGATATTTTTGTCTTTGCTTTGCCATGTTTGAGTTTCCATGTTCTTTTTTTGGTTTTTAAATGCTTTTGATTTTAACAAACGTTTTAATCTCTCTCTCTCTCTCTCTCTCTTGCGTGCTGCCTTTTCTACTTTTAGTGTGAGAAGGAGTATCACATTGGCTGTTTAAAGGAGCATAAAATGGATGATCTAAAGGTCTGCAGATTATTTAACTTCATTTCATCTCTTTGTTTCAGCATCTCTGTATATGTGTTTTTTATTTATATTTTTTTTAGTATGTCTGTATTATGTTTGTGCATGAATATATTTAGTTCAAGTGGAATTATTTCTGAATAATATGTTGATACCACACATACAATAGGAATTGCCCAAGGGGAAGTGGTTCTGTTGCATGGACTGCAACAGGATTCATTCTGCTTTACAAAATCTGGTAGTTAGTGGAGAACAAAAGTTGCAGGACTCTCTGCTGAGCATTATAAAGAAGAAGCTGGAGGAGAAAGGTTCCGAGAGTAGTGCTGATCTTGATATAAAATGGAGGCTTCTTAGTGGGCAGATGGCTTCTGACGACACTAGATTGTTGCTCTCAAAGGCTGTTTCTATCTTCCATGTGAGTATATTGTTGGTTGCTATTTTCCAGCGGTATTTATCTTTCTTTCGGGGTTCTTCGTGTATGACTAGATTATGTTTGGATGGAACTGTTTAGGGTCAAAACTTCCTCAATCAGTGTTAAGTTTTATGATGTCTGAAAGGAATTGGGGGCCAGGAAAATTTGACAATATTTCTGAATTTAATTTAGAAGCCTTCTTGTGCCAAATCAATAATTAATAAAGAAGAAAGAACGAAGCAAAGGAACAAAATACAAGGCAACGAAAGCTATAACCATCACAACAACCCATGGAATGAATTTTCTAAAAGGACTTTTTTTTTATTCAAAGTAATCTTACACCAAAAAGTTTTGAGGTCCAGCATTTAGGTGCAAGATTACTTTGAAGGGATTAAGTATGAATTAATTAACCTTGTTATTAGTTTTGTGCACTTGGAGCTCTTTTAAATATGGCCTATTGATGTGTAGAAGCCATTTCTTGAAGAAGTGACTGTTGTTTGGCATGCCATGCATCTTATTCTAATAAGCTCTTGCTTCCATACTGCATCAATACTAACCCAAATTAAGTGGCACTGGGAGATGGGCGCTCATGGATACTTTATTTTGGAAGGTCCCAGCTATCAAAATTGAAACAATTTCTTTTATGGTGTACTTATTCCCTGTTATTTCTTATATGTTAAAGTGGAGTCATTTTCTGAAACTACTATTGCACCCTGTAAATCTGTTTTGCTTGTTGTCATCAATTTATGGATTTCAGCCATTGAGATTTTCACTTATCAACTGAGTTAATGTTGGGGACAGTTGGTAGCTGCTGTTTTTCTAGGCCTTCCATGATTTTTGTTGATGTTTCACTGTCTTGAACATGAAAGAAATATTGTCACAGGAGCACTAATATGTTCTTTTATTTCATGGTTGGACTTTAGGATCGGTTTGACCCGATAGCAGATTCAAACACAATCCGTAATGATCTTATTCCTCACATGGTTTATGGGTGAGTATTAAAATTCTCTTTCTGATCTTTTATGTTTTATCTTTGACTTTGTTCTTAGCCTTCTTTGTGGGTGTTTATGAAAACCAATTACAACCTTTAAAAGGTTATGGTCCCTATTCCTTCCCAAGAGTGAAAAAACAAGAATACTGTTTTGTTTTCTAAATCCTCTCAAGGAGAAACATAAGGCAAATAAGGGAAAGGATTAGAAGGCTCTAACAAAGTCAATATTAAGGTTTTATTGACAATCAGACGCTTCCGTTTAACCGTTCATCAATGGATTTAGGTATGTCATTTTGTTTTGATCTCTTGATAATACACATGGTAAATGATCCAAAGTGTAAGGTTTATGTTCTGAAATTTTATGTTTACAAGTGGTACACTTGTAAACATAAATTTCAGAACTTCATGTTTCGGATCATTTACCATGTGTATTATCAAGAAATCAAGACAAAAAACATACCTGAATCTTTCTAGGCCTTCCATGATTTTTGTTGATGTTTCACTGTCTTGAACATGAAAGAAATATTGTCACAGGAGCACTAATAAGTTCTTTTATTTCATGGTTGGACTTTAGGATCGGTTTGACCCGATAGCAGATTCAAACACAATCCGTAATGATCTTATTCCTCACATGGTTTATGGGTGAATATTAAAGTTCTCTTTCTGATCTTTTATGTTTTATCTTTGCCTTTGTTCTTAGCCTTGTTTGTGTGTGTTGGTACGAGTTACATGGAATTTGCATGTCACAATTACTTTAAATGTTTCTGCAGGAGGAACGTGAGGGATCAAGAGTTTGGAGGGATGTATTGTGCAATATTATCAGTCAAGTAAGTCTACTATTTCTAAAGGCTTGAGGTAGCTGTTTCTCCCTGTATTGGTCAGTTAATATCTTCATTCCTCATTATGCAGCTCAAACATTGTGTGTGCTGGGATTATTCGAATTTTTGGAGAGGAAGTGGCAGAACTTCCTTTGGTTGCAACAAGTACCGATCATCAAGGACAGGTTATCTATTGTTTTTAAATTTCATAACAAAGTAATTTCAACCTTGTTTAACAGTCTGTCTGGGGATTTAGTAGAGAAAATAAAAGAAATGATTTCTGAAGTTAAGAGAGAAAAGAAAAGAAGAGAAAAAATTGTGTTTTCTTTTCTTAATTGTTTAGTTTAACTGGAGAGAGGAAAAGAGAAGATAGTGATTTCTCTCCTATCTTGTTTGGATGGACTACATAAACGAGAAGAAAAGAAACTGTTAGATGTCATATTACCAAAATAACCTGTTATGTTTTTATTTTTGTAGTACCTAGACTAGATGAACAATTTTGGTAATTGTATAAAGTTAATAATCACCCATTTTCTCTCCCATTCTCTCTACTTTTGCAGAGATTCAAAAAATGGGGTTTCAGAGAAAATAGTTTCTTTCCATTTATCTCCTCTTTGGTAATCCATAGAGGTGTTTGGGATCACAATAAATCAATTTCTTTCATTTTTTCTACAAATCACTTAATCCAAACAGGTTGTTGGTTTTTTGGTGGAAGGTTGCATGTTTTTTGATTGTGAGAAATGAATGTGTTCTGCAGGGCTATTTCCAGGTGTTATTCTCTTGTATTGAAAACTTGCTTGGATTTCTCAATGTTAGAAACCTTGTGCTGCCGGCTGCTGATGAAGCAGGATCTATATGGACAGATAGATTTGGTTTCAAGAAGATTACAGAAGATGAGGTGTGTGCATTTTCATATGTCAATTTTTTATTTTTTATTTTTTGGTCATGAATTTATTCACTTATGTTCTATTTTGTATTCCAGCTGATGAATTACCGGAAAAAATATCAGATGATGATCTTCCAAGGGACGACAATGCTTCAAAAGCCAGTAGTGCGGTCTTGAAATATCAGTTATTTAGTGGATGGTTGGATGGTGGTTTGTCTGTGAACTTTACAGAATTTTGAAAACAAAGCATCTGCAATGTCTTTTGGATGAATATGTACAGGAGTGCATTATTTTTTTGTATGTGTACATGATAGAGGCGTTTTTGGCGACGAGAAAAACTGTGAGAAAGAGCAATACTTGGCACATAGATACAAGTATACAGAATTAGGTGCTTCTGTACATTTTGAGAAATTCATCAGTTTTTGAAATGTTTCCGTCAAATTGATATACCGGTAAAGGTCAAATAGGAACGGTTGTATCTTTCTTTTTTGGGAAGGGGTTGTGTTATTTATTTATTTATTTTGGTTGAAAATATCTATTTTGCCCCATCTCTCTGTATGCTTTTAAAATTCTGGTTGTTTTTTTGAATTTAAACTCAGCTGCAACTTGTAAGGCCGGTGGTGCAATGTTTTTATGAATTAGAGAGAGTTCTTCAACCAGCAGGGTAGCCTTGGCTAACTTCAACTAGTGTCTCCATTATGATAAAAATGTTTATGGAGTGAGTTAATCAGCGCAAATAAACTTCTGACAAACTTTCTAGACATTTACATTAGTTTTCTATGGCTTCAAAAAAGAGAGGTTAAAATCTCTTTTAGCTTGTGTTTGGGAAGCGTGGTTGAGGCTAAATTAGCCAGATGACGACAAACTAGGCTTATTTAGCCACTACACGACAAAGGCTCTCCATATTTAGCCACTACACGACAAAGGCTCTCCAACGGGTGGGAGAGGAACCGTTGTTCGGGTAAAATTACGAAAACACCCTCAAACAAATCAAAGATTCATTTCGCCCAACTGATGAATGAATCTAAAGGCACAACACAACCAAAAACCTAACAGACGAAGTGAAGGAGGCGATTAGTGGCTACCAGCGGCGACGACATCTGAGCCAAGCTTTTTGGAGCAGATCGGGCCGGAGTAGGCATCTGTGGCGGCGAAGACGACTTCCGAACAGGTCGGCAAATCGGACGGTTGGGCCCTAACGTTGGCGGCGGCGAACAATAGACGGAACCCTCTCAAACACCACCGATCTTCAGGTAACTCTTTGAAATCCTTCTGATTTCGTAGATCTGTGTGTGTGTTTATACCTTCAAAGTAGTTAGATTGCTATCTTTTACTATGGTCTGTTTCATTCTCGTTATTTCCTAAGGCCATAATCTTCTTTTCATGCGTATGTAACTGCTAGTAACTGCCATTTGTTAACTCTTTTTTCATGTGCCTCTCACATATTGCTCAGCATCTTTACCGGTTGAAAACTTGCATCCGCGGCTTACGTGAGCACCTTTGGGGCTTTTCACCATCTTATCAAATTTCACAAATACCCTCTGTCTATCGCGTGTCACTTTCAAATTGAATGGTTTAAATGTTATGCCAAACAATAACACAGATATATATATATATATACATATATCTGTTCTTATATACAAATCTGCAACTCTGTGCGTAATTAGGGCCGGACTAGGTTGAGATTCGTAAAACACTCTCTTTTTCTTTTGATTTTGTTCTTATAATTATCATTAAAAATCTGCCTTTTCTCAGATCACATTAGAAATGAAAAATTGTGTGCTTGGGTTCACACATTTTGTTCAGATCACAATCTGATTTGGGTTCATAGTCAAATCTGCTGTTTTTTCAGATTTGTTGATTTTCTGCTTGGGTTCACACATTTTGTTCTTATAATTATAAAAATTACAAATTTTAGATCACAAGTTTGAATTGATGTATTCCTTAGCTGAATGAAATCTGATTTATGAAATTGATGTACACATTGTGCCACTGTTACTCTCTACCCATTTTTCAAATAAATTCTGAATCAAATATGTGAATGCACTTATGTTATTGGGAATGAATATCAGATTCTGGTAAAGCTCTGTTCAGATCTGAAAAACACTCTGTCGTCCTTTTGATTTTTTGCTTATAATTATCAAGAAAAATCTAAAATTTCATATCACACATTCGAATTCATGTATACAAATGCTGAATGAAATCTGAATTATCAAATTGACGTATACATTGTTCCACTACTACTTTGTAACCATTTCTGAAATAAATTCTTAATGAAATCTGTGAATGCACATCTGATTCTGGTAAAGCTCTGTTGAAACACATGAAAATCCATTTTCTTCTTTTGATTTTTTTCTTATAAATATCATTAACAATGGAAAATTTCAGACCACAAGTTCGAATTGACTCAATACGAATTGCTCAATTCACTTTTTGTATTAATTTTTGGATTTGTTAACTAATTTCCAAACAAAACCTAAATTTCAAAGGATTAGTTTGGTTTGGTATATTTTATCAGTGGTTAATGAAGAAATTTATGAAAAATAAAAAATAAAATAAAATGTAGCCGTTCAAACCAGAGCGGGGAAAATATTCAAATTTGAAATTCAAACTATAGTAATTTCTTATTTCCATTCCATCATCATAAAGATCATATCTCATTTTCACTTTCTGTCCCATAATCTAATCTAATCTTTTCTATACAGCTTTTGCCATCTCTCTCTCTCTCTCTCTCTCTCTCTCTCTCAGGAAGGTTTCTCTGTCTCCGAATTCGAGTGCAAAGAATGGGTCAGATCCAGTACTCTGAGAAGTACTTCGACGACACCTACGAGTACAGGTATTTGATTTCATCTTCATTTCTCTGTTTCCTTTGGATTTCGATTTCGTTTCTCGGAAATGTTTGAGAATCGATTTCTTATTTTACAGGCATGTGGTTCTCCCTCCTGAAGTCGCCAAACTTCTCCCTAAGAATCGACTTCTCTCTGAAGTAAGTAATCGACTTCTTATTTGGAGAATTCTTTCTCGTTTCATATTCTTTCAACTGCGTTTGTTTGCTGAGAAAATGATGGAGTCGATAGAAAGTTTTTCAACTAGATGATGTTTCGGAAAAAATGAAATCCAATTTCGTTTTGGTTCCTATACGAATGTTACTAATCTTCTGATTATCATCAAAAAGTGCAATAAGAAGCCAAATTAATCATTTCTGTTCTGTAAAATCAATCTTAGGGTTTGCGATTTTGTTCTAGTTTTTCCCCCAATTGTCATGGAAACAACCAAAGGCGACGTCTTTTAATTTTTGTTCTCCTGTGATCTTCAGAATTTTTTGTTCTTGTGTCTAATTAAGTTGATGTCTTTGAAATGAAACTATATAATTTGAATTTGATATTCTGTGTTTGATTTGTTATCCTAATAGTTTCTATATTTTCTCTATATCCAAACATGATATTGTCTTTTTCTACTGATACTAAAATTGTACTATGATAATCTCTAATTCTGTGTGTCAGAACGAATGGCGTGCAATTGGGGTACAGCAGAGCCGGGGGTGGGTTCACTATGCAATCCATCGACCAGAGCCACACATCATGCTCTTCAGGAGGCCTCTGAACTATCAGCAGCAACAAGAGACTCAGGCTCAGCAAATCATGGTTTCTAAGTGAAATGTCACTCTCATTGCCTTTCTTGTCCCTCTTAGACATTACTACATCCTCATTTCTGCTAGAAATGAACTCATAATAGGTTTTGAAGTTGGGTACTTTTGAAACTGTGTTGTTTGGGTGCTGTCTGTTATACAATTCTCTCAACTGCGGAGAATTGACGTTGGTTGTAGTGGAATTCAACACTTGGGTTTTGTTCTTAGTTACTGTTTGAAATGTTTTACTTCTGGTGCTTGTGTTTTTGTGTGGCCTACATTGCTGGCTTTGAGTTTGATTCGTTTTATTTTTTGTTCTCTTTGAAACATTCATTCCACTATTTTTCTGAATCTTTTGGGTTTTCCTTTATTTTTAGCCACAACATATTACTTGGCCAGAAAAATTGGTTTTGAAATTGGCCAAAACTTTCATCATTCCTGTTCATCGTTGAATTGATTTTCTGAGAAGTTAATGAAAACTTTTTTAAGAATTGGGGATTTTGATGTTTCATTGAATTGATATTGAACTTGTTTCTGTAATTAATTCTATATTCTATATGAAAAGAAAAATGAGTGAGACCATTAAAAGAGGAGACCTTGTTTGATTTACCTTTTTTTATGTATTCTTTCTAAAATAACTTTGATTTTTTTTTGTAAAGTAGTTTTTGAGATAAAAGTATAAAAATTTGTTTGGTTTACTTTTTTTGCAAACATGTGTTCAAAAGTAATCTTGAAAATTGGATAATCAAACACATTTTTGATAGTGTTTTTGGAAAAATCTGTTTGGTTTGATTATTCTTAAAAAAGTGTTTGTAGAGTATATTTCTAAAAAATTTCTTCCAAAATCAAACCAAACAAGGTCCTAGAGTTTTAAAAAAACAATAGAAGTGTTTGTTGTGAGATTATCAAGCAAATAAAAAAGGATGTATGTGATGAAGTTTTTGGTTCAATCAATTATGCAGTATTGGTGAACTATACGACTTAGTAGAGCTGTTGTATTCTGGAGGGGACAAGTCAAGGTTTTTTCTGCTACACTGATGTGAGACTTTGCCTAACCGTAGAGGGCTTGAATCTCCTTAAAGAGAACGAATTTCCAATGCTTCAAACCTTTTAAAGTTATTGTAATTTTTATTATTTGTTTTTTTTGATGTTTTATTTGCTATTATCACCAACAAGTGTCATTGCATATTCTTTGAATTTGGATATTCTTTATGTCAGCAAAACAATATTATCAAAACAAAAATATTGATTCTAGATATTCAATTAAAATTTTTATTAAACACTCACATGTCATATTAAAATTTTGATAAAATATTTTGTATCCGCAACATTACTCTCATAAATAAAAAAACAAAAGCATATAGCAATTGTTGATTAGGCATTGATGGAGTCTATTAACATAATTCCCATTGTTAGTGTTATTAGTATAATATAGCAATAATGTAATATTAGTGTGCAATACCTAGCTGTCCTACTAATGATAATGTTTCTGCTTTCGGTGTTAGTTAGTTAGTATTCTATGTGTACCACCCTTCCTCTCTCTATAAATGAGAGTTGTAAATCACTACAATCAATCAATTGAATACATGTAATTTATTCTCTCTATATTTCTCTCTTTATATATTGAATTTAACATGGTATCAGAGCGGGTTTAGAACCTAGTATTGTCGCCTTACCGGCGGGCGGCAACCTCACCTTGGCCACCCGTCGGACCTCAACCTATTCCGTTTGTTTTTGTACACATACCTTCTTCCATAGTTGAGCTCCTCATTTTCTTCAATGTCTTTATCTTGATGTCCAGCTGGTTTCAAATCTTTCTTTATAACCCGCAACATTTGAAGCAGTCCATTGTCCGTGACATCATTGCAGAAATATTTAAAAAACCTGCTCAATAGCAGAACGCATAGGAGCAGATGATTGCGGCAGCAAAGAAAGTAGTATATCCACAAGGACATCCATTAACACGGGTGTTCCATCACCATCTATTTCATCTTCTCCAGAAGAGTCGAGAAGATCAGCAAAAAAAAAAAACTTACAGCAAATAATGAGTTCATCTCTCAGCTCAGAAAATCCCCCATTGACCATCCAAATGAAGCAGTGGCCTCCTGTGCCATTGCCCGAGTTAGCCAAGTCAGAGCCAACGCGCAGCCACGCGCCGCCCATGGCGTGAGCTCCTCAGCAGCCCTCTGTCGTCGCTTATTATGGCTTGTTGAAGCCGCTCCTGCAGCGCCGAAGCAGTGGCCTCCTGCGCCCTTTGCCCGAGTCTGCCACGTCTGCGCCTCTGTGAAGATCGCTCGGCTTTGCGCCGTGCCGCCTTCTCCACCTCAGCCTTTACGGTAGTGTCTGCCTCTCTAATGTGCGCCGCAGATGCTCTCTCTGGGCTTGAAGGAATTGTTGGATTTCGTCTCTCTAGATTCTCTCTCTCCATATACATCACCAACCCCATTTTACTTTTCTTCTCTTATTTCTTTATTTTTTCTTTTACTTCATTTACCACCACTCACCCATGTGACCCACTCTACAATAATATATCTTTTGCAAGGGCACTACCCCCAACCTGCACTCTCTTTTCCTGAAATCCCATCATCATTTTATTTTATTTTAACCCCATCATCATATTTTATCATCATCATTATGCCTCCACTACCCACATCAATTTCTATCCACCACCATTCTTTTCTTTATCACACCTATCTTTATATCTTTTATATGCAACTCCCACCAGCGCATATGCTTTCTACATTATTATTATTATTATTATTATTATTGTTATTATTCAAAAAAAAACAAAAAAAAAAACAAAAAAATTTCAAACACCATTGCTGTTTTTCACAGATCCGTGCAGAACCACTCTTTCGTTTTTAATTTCACCTATATTCTTATTATTTATTTCTTTCTTTTTCTTTCAAATTATTTTTAACCTTTTTTTCAAATCTCATTCATACCATATAGATTTGCACACCAAACCTTACCTTATTTTATTCATCTCAGGGATCTACCCCGATCACAGTTCTCAATTCAAAAAAAAAAAAAAAAAAAAAAAAAAAAAAAAAATTATTACAAACACTAAACACAACAAAACCAACTCAAACAAACTACCTCCCTCACACATGAGGGATTTTTCTTTTCCCTTCTCTACTCTGCCGCTGGTCTCTTCTTCTTGCCTCCGTCCTGGGCAGCCCTTGACGGTGCTGCCTCTGTGTTTCCCATGCCGCCGAGCACGTTCACTCCCCTCTGCTCCTCCACTGCAGCATATGGCGGACCTCCGAATTGGAACATAATGGCGGCTTTCCGCTTCAGCTTAGCAAACATATCTCTGCTCGCGCATCCTTATACATGCGCTGGAGCAAAGCCAGTTGGGCGTTTAACTGCTGCACCTCATTTGTCTTACTCTGAAGCCGGTGCGACAAGTTTGTGACCGCAGTCATGGTCTCCACACATGACTTCAATGTATAATGATTGGCCTCAATATTCGATTGCGCTGCCATTATTTGCTTCACAGACAGCATAGGAAAGTTCAACGGAGCAAAACCAGGGGCGCTTGGTTGAGGTTCAAGGGCAACCGCACCGGTTATCTCTCTTGTGGACTCGTTGAGGTCTGGAAAGAGAGTGAGCAAACCACGGGAAGAAGAGGTCATGTTTTGGGTTACTGAGTGTTTCAGAGAAGCAACGATTTCAGACTAGTAATGTCAGAAAGGGTTGGTTGCAGAGTGTTTCAAAATGAAAATGTTCAAAGGTTTCAGACTAGTTTGGTTTGCACAGCCTCCACATCGGTTTATATTGACAATGACGAAGAGGACGACACGCGCTCTGTCGATCACGTGCATCGCCGCGTGTCCAGCGCGACTTTTGATGGCTCGCCGCTCGACGATTTCTGTCGGACACGACTTTTGATGAATTGGGAGCGCCTTTTGAGGGTGCGACTTTTGAGGGCTCGATATATATATATTTGGGCAGCCTATATACACAATCATACAGTGTATTCTACATCGGTCCGGCATGACCCCGTAAACTGTCCCGATATTGATTCCGGTTAGCTTCTACATCGGTCCGACATGACCTCGTAAACTGTCCCAACATTGATTTCGGTTAGCTTCTACATCGGTCCAGCATGACCTCGTAAACTGTCCCAACATTAATTCCGGTTAGCTTCTACATCGGTCCGGCATGACCCCATAAACTGTCCCGACATTGATTCCGGTTAGCTTTTACAACGGTCCGGCATGATCCCGTAAACTGTCCCGACATTGATTCCGGTTAGCTTCTACAACGGTTCGATACAACCATACAGTGTCTTCACCAACGGTCTGACACGACCATACAGTGTCTCCTATCCACTTTTATTTGTCAGTTTATTTTCTTGTTTTGTTACTCCCTCTAAACTTAAGTTGGTTAGTGCCTATCCTCCTTGAGTTTGAGGGGGACTGCTAGTGTTATTAGTATAAAATAGCAATATAACAATAATGTAATATTAGTGTGCAATATCTAGCTGTCCAGCTGTCGCACTAATGATAATGTTTCTGCTTTCGGTGTTAGTTAGTTAGTATCCTATGTGTACCACCTTTCCTCTCTCTATAAATGAGAGTGTTGTAAATCACTACATTCAATCAATTGAATACATGCAATTTATTCTTTCTATATTTCTCTCTTTATACATTGAATTTAACACCCATTACGTGGAAAGTTTATTTAACTTTTATTTTTTATGTTTGGCTCATCAACTCAGTGATTCAAGCACTCACCTTTATATTGTTCTTGATTTTATGCCGAAATCCAAATTACAAAAAGCCAATTCAAAGCAAAAAAGAAGCATTAGAGCATCAACATCTCTATTGGTAATTCACTTTTGGCGTTAATACTAGAAAGTTGAACTCCAAAAAATGATTAGACTCTCTGCAATACTGCTTATCTCTCCCACCTTCATTCTTACTGAGAGGGTAATTTTAGTGAAAATTGGGCCGAGCTATGAGATGGACTTTATGGCCCAAAGTACGAAGGACTGGGTAAAAAGGCCGAAAAGTTACTCCGGCCCAAGAGAGATAAAGTTACTCCGGCCCAAGAATTGTAAAGTTACTCCGGTCCAGAAGCAACTTGGAGTTAGGCCGGTCTCAGAGGTAGTCCGGTCATGATGTATTGAGGTTAGAACGGTCAAAACCTTGCTACTCGGTAGCTCGGTCTAAACACACCATGGGTTGAACAAGAGAGAACCGAGATAAGGAGGAGTGAAAGCAAAAACCGAGCTAAGGATAGTTCGGCCTACTCTGTGACTCGGCATAGC